GCCCAGGGCCCGTCCCCTCCCCGCCACGCCCGCCTACCCGCTGCTCCCGCCGCTGCTCCGCACGGCTTGCCAGTCCCAGCTGCTTCGGGAGGCCGCGGCCTGGAGGACGCCGGGGGAAGGTAACCGGGGCGGGCAAGTCTGGCCAGAGTTCGATCGCTCACCATCAGGAAAGCCGGGCTCGGGCGGGAGCCGAAGGGCGGAGCCCGAGGCCCGGAGTGGAAGGAGAGGAAACTCGGCTCCTTCCCTCGGGAGCCCTCTGCGGCCGCCCCTCCCCGGGCTCCGCTCCTCCGGCCGTCACGACTTGCATCGGTTTGCATTATGACTTGTGTCCCCACGGGGCCGCTGCGGGACGGGACCACGCACCCGGATTCACCTGCCCGCCCCCCTCCCGGGCCGCGCAGCTCTGGGGCGGAGCGGTCGGTGGGGCACGTGGGCAGCAAAGATGGCGCTGGGCGGGAGTTAGTGGGCAGAGCCTGATTGCTCCTGTTACTCTGATTGGATGCCGCAACCAGGCGTCAGTACGGGACAGGCAAAGTATAGAAAACTTAGGCACGTGATAGGGTGACCTCTACAGTGATTGGTTGGTTCCTTTTCCTCCCCTTCCAGGCCATGCGGTTTTTTGCTTTGAAAAGTGCTTGCTGTGAGGTAATAAATGAGTTCCTGCTTGACTTGACTCCCCACAGCCTCTGGTTGTCTCTGAGGCTAAGGGAGGGGAACAGGTGAGTGGTGCTTTCTTCGTACCCTGTCCTTCTCCATGTCCTTCCCCAGGCCGAAGACCCGACATCTGGTGTCCAACGTGGGGCCCGAAAGGAAAATATATCAGCCGAGGCTAAGCGGTTTCTCAGGGTAAGTGAAACCCTTAGTATAGTAAGGGTAATTTTATCTCGCAGAAGGAGGACTTGGGAAGTGGGGAGGAAAAGGAATGGGCCAGATTCGACCAAGAATACACTAATCAGACAGAAGCACGCACAGTGGAAGTCAAAACAAGGGTGAAGATTACCCCCCCCCAACTCGGGTGCCCCTGGAGGTCCTAGGCCCCCACTCTATGCCCCCAAAAAGGGGGAAGGTACGGTGCCCTATGCAGCCTTACACAGGGACCTGCCAGACCCGGACCCCTACAGACCCTCCACGGAGGGGCCGAGGGCTGGGGAAGTAACCTATGCAGAGGCCTCCCCTGTAAAGGAGGGGCCACCCAGGAGCCCAAACCCTAGGCCACAGGATTCGCTTCCCCAAGCATATCCGGTCAATCTGGCACCAGGAGCTAACAGACCCTTGGAATGGTATCCATGGGAAGCTAAGGATCTTTAAAGAGCTCCACAGGCGGTGGCAGAGGATGGCCCAAACTCTCCTTGGGCCCAGACCCTATTACAGGATATTGCCTATCACCCGTGTGTCCCTAAGGACTGGCAAGATGTGGCCAAAGCCGTCCTCACCAGTTCTCAGTTTATTAAATGGTGTGCCTTCTTTGAGGAGGAATGCAGAGTGCGGGCAGAAAATAACCAGCAGGCTCAACCCGAGATAACTATTACTTACTCCATGTTAACAGGGACGGGGGAAGGGTACTCCACTGGCGTCGAACAGGCTGCAATACCTGGCCCATACCGTGACCAGGTGAGGCAGGCAGGACTTGCCGCGTGGTACAAACTGGATGAAGGGCCCACTGAGTCCCCCATAGCAGGAGTGAGACAAACACCAGGTGAGCCTCTACCTGATTTCATAGACCGAGTCCAGCAGAGTATTGACCGCAAGCTGCTGGCAGGGGACCTCCAGGATCAGTTTGTAAAGCTGCTGGTTTCCCAATCACTAGCTTTAGCTTTACAGGCTCAGACATCTGCAATGGCTGAGGCTATCACCCAGGCGCTGGCAGCCCAGGGCCAAGGGACCTCAAGGCCATTGGGGAGAGGGACTCGTTTTAAATGCGGACAGGAGGGCCGCTTTAAGAGGGACTGTCCACAACAATCCCCCGCCAACCTGCCTGGGGGGTCCAGACCACCCCCTACACCCTGCCCCAGGTGCAGGAAGGGATACCATTGGAAAAAGGATTGTCGATCCAAATTTCATTTAGATGGGAAGCCTTTAAATTAGGGGAGGGGCATCCTCCAGCCCTGTTAACTCAAGGAGGAACCCCCTCTGCTGTGAGGCCCAGGCAGCCTCATGGCAGGGCAGCCCAGGCCCATTGGACCTTCCCCCTGGTGGAAGGACTCTGCCCTAAAATGAGTATTTTTATAGATGGGAAGAGGTTTCACTGTTTAATTGACGCAGGGGCAGATCAACCCATGCTCAGGGAGGAGGAAGTACCCTTGGACTGGAAGCTTGCACCGGCCCCCCGATATTGAGGGTAGGGGGCAACTCCCAGTCCAAAGAGACGGCTGCCCTTATGACATGGACTAGCCCAGATGGAGAGCAGGGAAAGAAACGCCCTTTAGTGGCAAAAGACCTCACCACTAATTTACTAGACATGCTAAGACAAATGGATGCCGTGCTCACTATGGGTCATCGAGCATCCTATGGTGATATCCTAGATGGAGAAGAAGCACAAAGGCTTAAACAGGATCTAGAGGGAGTTAAGGAAAAGGATTTTTTTTTAACTTTGATCATTACAGAGAGGAACATAAGGGACCCACTCGGGTGCACCCCCAATCCTAAAGGCCACTCCCCACCCGTCACTCCCCTTCCCCCCCCCATACCTCCCATTAGGTGGAAACCGGGAAGCCCTATTTGGGTGGAGCAGTGGCCATTGACCAGACCTAAACTTGTAGCCCTCCACCTTTTGAAGGAACGGATAAACCTTGGGCACATACATCCTTCTAAGAGTCCTTGGAACACCCCTGTATTTGGTATCCAAAAAGCATCCAGGGGCCTGGCTCACGCTCCAAGATCTAGGTAAGATAACTGAAAGCGTGGAGCTAGTAGGAACGCCCCCTAAGAGGCGTGCCCTGGTTTCCCAGTACACCTTCAGAATATACCTTGGTTGTGGTTGACGTTACAGATTGTTTTAGATTGTTTTTTTTTCTATCCCTCTGCATCCGGATGACTGCAGGAAGTTTGCCTTTGAAGTAGGCCTGAAAGGAGACTTGATCTGGCACAGCTTCTTTCCAGGCTTTGCCTTTGTTTTAGGGATTTTAGAAAAAAAAAAAACCTTAAAACAAGGTTAACTAGACCTTGGCTCCAACCAGCCCAGTTTCTGGAATAGAAAGAATGCCTCTAGGTACCCCTCCCCTTAACAACCTAACCCACCTTGATTGTTCCGTTAAGGACTGACCGTTAAAACAGGTTGTAATCTGGCTCAGACCGGCAACATCGCCAGCTTACCATAAACTCTGCCTTTTTCTCGTGCTTATGGTAAACTCCTCCTTTGTGTATGCTTACCGTAAGCTCCTCCTTAACCATTGAATTCGTGAGTCATTTAAACCAAAAGTGATAGGGTGGTTTAAACAGCCATAATGTGACAAACTGTAACCTCATTGGCCACCTGCATGTGGTCCAGTATGACTGTGCAATCTTTTGGGTGTGTGACAGTCTCATTGGTCACCTGCGTGACCAGGCTTGACCTCGTGAATTTTGCCTTTAAAAACTAAAGGTGAAGCCGGGCGCTGGTGGCTCACGCCTGTAATCCTAGCTACTCAGGAGGCTGAGATCTGAGGATCGTGGTTCAAAGCCAGCCCGGGCAGGAGAGACCGTGAGACTCCTATCTCCAATAAACCACCAGAAAACCGGAAGTGG